CACAAAATCACAAAGCTCGATTTTGTGTAGTTCTTGTGTATTTTCTCTTTGTGAAAATAAATGTTTATCCTACATTTTGTCACTGTCTCATCTGAACTGGGTATTTGAGGAATCAACACTATCCACATGGATGAGTCCCAAGGTTGAGTTGCCATTACTTGATTACTTTGCCAAGCAACTAAAAGGCATATTAAAAGAGATATTACAGTGTGTGTGTGTGTGTGTGTGTGTGTGTGTGAGAGAGAGAGAGAGAGAGAGACAGACAAAGAGAGAAGGTTAAATGGGCCCCAGAGGAACAGTTTCAGTACAAATAGAGAGGATAGTGGTACTAATATCTCTAGCTCCTAGGTCTTGGGGAGCTGAGCACTGGCAATTCTCCATCCTTGTCACAGGGATGTATGGCTGAAAGAAACAAAACAGCTTCATTTAGTTTTACATTAAAGCTGGGTGCACTTGGTCTTGAAAACCCTAGAGGACTGGGGTGAGGGTTACATTTTCAGACATAAAACTTACAGTAATATTCTTGCCAAAATTCTAATGCTACTAACAGCAATAGCAATCGTTTTGCCTGATGTAATTTTCATAATGCTAAGGAGTGGCTATTTACTTTCACTGAAAGCTTTTGAAAAGCAACACCAACAGTCTATCCTGCTGTTATGAAACTCCTTTGATGCCAACGTGATGAGTCAACCACATCCCGGATAATGTACCTGCCTGCCTATGGAAGATAGAGATGTGCATTTTGGTCATTCGGACAGCTCATAGCCTTTTGTGCTCACACCCTCTTTGGCTGTTACTGGAGTTGTCTGGCTAGCGTCACATACATTTATATGCAAGTTCATAATGAGTTATACTAAAGTAGAGTTAAAAGCCCATTACAACGCTAACAATGACACTTGCAATACACTCCTTTGTTAGACATGCTCAATTAATGTATCTTTTGGGGATAATAAATTTAATGGTGTGTATACAGTAGTAATTCATGTTTATAATATCCAGACACTCCAATACAGGCGTTTGCACATTAAATTACCTTAATTTTGGCAAGAAAACAGAAATTAAGCTCCAGGCTCAGTTAGTTGTGAGCCGCATGAAATGTGAATTGAAAAATCTAGACTGCACAAAGATTATGGAAGGATTTACATGTTTGATCCTGGACGTTAGCTAAGGTAAAATGTGTTTGATGAGGTTTTATGTGTATTTCTTCCAGATGCCATGTGCTACCTTCAGGAAAGTAAAGTAAACTCTACTTTTGGAAGCAATGAAAATTAGACAAACAAATAAATGAATAAAAATTTATTTTAATAAATACTTAAAAAGAATGAATACCAGCCTTAAAGGAAAGCATTTTCATTTTCCACAACCCCTAGAAATAAGTATTTTGAATCTTTTTTGCTATTCAATATACTTCCTTTGCATATATCCACTTCAAATTTACACACATAATGACAATTTGACTTTGCACAAAAAGTATGTATTCTTCTTTTTACGCTGGATGCCCTTCATGACACAACCCTCCCATTTTATCCCGGCTTGGGACCAGCACTGAGAGTACACTCCCAGTGGCTGGGTTGGTTCCCTGCCCGGGAATCGAACCCGGGCCATGGCGGTGAAAAATATATATTTAAATTTACATGCAAGTAAATCAAGTTCTAGATATAAATGCTCGTGCAAATTGCACCTGGTGTCATTATAAAAGTTATTGACATTTGTTTGTGGACATTAGTCATTAGAAAAGATGTTGACATTCATGCTGAAGCTGAAGGAGCTTCCTAAAGTTCTCAGGGGCAACATTATTAAACAACAATTGGATGGATAAAGCTACAGCGCCATAGCATAGAACTTACATATCTCTGTAAGTACAATTGGTATGCCACCCAATGATAAAGAAAGAGAGAGGCCAGCAGTCACTCAGAAAGTGTTGAAGGATGACCTGGAAGCAGCAGGAACAACAGCTACTTAGATAGCAACAAGCAATGAACTACAGCACAATCATCTCCTTTCCATCTCACTCCACACAGAGCTCCTCTGCTAAAAAAAGAAGGACAGAGATGTGTGACTAAATGCATTAAGACAAATTAGAACGTTTTTGGAACCATGTACTCTGCGAGCCCATCAGGGGGCCCACTAATCATGGGGAATTGGCCAAAATTGCATCACAATGCTGCAAAAAAACGAACTACTTCTTACCATACACGTCGTGAAGCTGTAATTGCTAACATCAGCTTTGCCACAAAATACTTATGTTGTTAATTTGTGGTGTCTGAATACTTTTTTCCCATATCAATTTTGTTTTTTAAGCATATATTTGTTTATGCTAAAAAACATTCTTTGCATACAAATACATACGTTGTATATGAATGCATGAAGTGGAAGGACTGTACATTAAATAACAAAAGGAAAAGTGTCCAAATACTTATTTCCTCTCACTGTATGTGCAGCGGTTTTGCAGCCAGCAGCATTTTAAGACAAAAATCACTGGCTTATGTAGAGCATACTAATACTCAGCCTCAAGTCTTTGTGGCATAGATTCCACAAGCCGTTGAAAACATTTGTTCATGGAACCAGTTTGAGATGACTTTGAGATGAGTGTTGCGACATGGAGCATTATCATGCTGGAAGTAGCCTTTATTAGATGGGTAAAATGTGGTCATAAAGGGATGCACATGGTCAGCAACGATAAATCAAGGATGCTTGATTGGTATTCAGGGGCCTAAGTGTGCCAAGAAAACATTCCCCACACCATTACACCACCACCACCAGCCTGATCTGTTGACAGAAGGCGTGTTCGGTCCATGGATTCATGCTGCTGATGTCACATTCGCTACTGAGAGAACGGATGCACTGACCTCTAAACAATCCAGCGCTAAGACAGGGAGAATTCCACTTATCGTCCCACTTGTCTTTCCTGCAAGAGGTGTAATCAGCTGTAAATTGGCAAAATCGGAGACCATTTTGTCAAATGCCTTCATACCATCAGAATGAAGGATTTCTCCTTTCCAGTGACACTTCAACTGCAATGGACATAACATTAATGCCATCTCTCTTTGCACTGTTAGTTGTTATGGGAGCAACGAAGTGAGGAAACATAGAGAGAAGAGCTCATCTACACTCTCAGAACTTGGGAAGCCCATGTTGTGAATGTTATGTGTTGACAACAACTAACATCATCAACCATTTTGAATATTAATTGGTTTTGACTCCGAAAGCCTTAGAAGCACTAAGCTTCTGCACAGCTGGTCATTTGTCTGAAAAATCCTGCTTCTCTGCAAACTTTGTGTACTTGTTTAACTTTTCTACATCCACTATGCATTAGTCTAAGCATAAGCATAAGCATAAGTATAAGACACCCTGGTAAAGGAGCATTTTGTCTAAACATTTGTCTAAACACAAGCAGTATTACAAAGAGATAATAACATCAGATCATCGTCAGATCATGTTTTAAGTATTAGGGTTAAAAAAAAAAACGAAAGTAAAAGATTTTTTTTTCAAGGGTATTGGAGGTGCAACGGTTACAGCTCTATGTTACTGTTCAGAAGGTCAGGGGTTCAAGTCTCAGCACTGCTAAGCTGCAACTCTTGGGCTCTTGACCAAGGCCCTTAACCCTCTCTGCTCCAGGGGTGCAGTACCATGGCTGAGCCTGCACTTGGACCCCAGCTTCCTATGCAAAGAAAAGAATTTCACTGTGCTGTAATGTGGATGTGTCAAATAAAGGCTTCTTCTAAAACGCCAGTTTTCTTGGGTCGTGTCCATGGGAAAGAAAGTCTCAGAGTTGTCCAGAAGATGGCGCTCTCAACTCTGAACGAGATGCTGAGCTTTTAGGACAAGCACAAGCCTCTACCTCACTCATATACAGAGGTGACAGCGGCTGAATCCTAAATGTCTCCTTGCTGGACAAATTTAGTGCACTTGAAGCTTTTTTTTTAGCTTATATAGGGCACTTAGCTAGGGAGTAGCGAGCCATCTACAGAAGTGACACCGGGTTAATCCCAAATGTCAGAATACAGGACACATTGTGCACTGCGTAGGGCGGATAAACCTTTAGCTTAACACTAGGTAGGGCACTTATAAAGGGAGGAGGCAGTCGTTTGGGTTTCAGCCAGCGTCTTTTTACCGCACTGTGAGGACGCTGAAGGAAGACCTTGCGCTTTTTCTTTCTTTTTTTCCCCCTTCTCTTTACATTTTTCTAGTTGTTTTTATGAAGAGCAACAAATCCTCGGGTATTTTTGTTGTACTGGACGCTCATGAGAAAAACTTCTCCAAAAGCAAAGGATATATATTTATATATTTCTATATTATTTCTCGACTCCAATAGGAGGAGTTGATTTCCAGTTCAAGTCCACTTCGGCTACATTTAGTGCCCTGAGTGTGTATGTGTGTGTGTGTGTGTGTGTGTGTGTGTGCGTGCGTGAACCGTAAACCTTCAAAGCCATATAATGAGTGGGGGAGATGAATGAGGACGTTTTAGGCGTTAATGATCAGCAGCGCGTCTTCACTGCACTCGGGTTAGGGAGAAGATGCTGGATGCTGTGTTAAACCCGGTGGGCTTGTGTAGCTTCTCCACTCGGGGTCGTCACCCACCCGTTTCAAGCATTCACTCAGATCTCGAGACACAGAGAGGACATTAGGATAGGAAGTCCTCTGTGGACTCTTAAAGCTCTGATTTGGAGGAAAATGTGTGGCGCTGGACTCGCCATCAGGACGCTTCTTTACAATGATGGGACCGCGCACTCAGCCACAGCCAGGTAAGATATCCCAGCTATCAAAACCTTACAGATAACTGTTCTCATAACTCTCAGATCATCTAGTGCACAGCTGTAGCCTACTATAACCTCAAGGGTAGGTCGATTTGGATAAGAAAAAAATAATGATAATGTATATTAATAACAATGCACTCATTTAGCTTATGCTTTGTTATTATGATTTTTTTTTTTTTTTTATCCAAATCGCCCTACATCTGAGAAGTTGAGGGTTAAGTATCTTGCTCAAGGACCCAACAGTGCCAGCTTGGGTTTTGAACTCAAAACCTTTCAGTCAGCAGCCCAAAGCCTTAACCACTGAGCTACCAGCCTCTGGACGTGTTAATAAACACTGAGATGTTTTGCTGTGGCATTAGATTAAAGAGCAGTAGTGCATCACTGGAGTGATGAAGCAGTACAGTACCATTTAATCTCCTGTGAACCTGACAAAGTGTGTCAGTGATGAATTATCGTTGCGTTTCAGAAACACTCTAGAAACAGAATGGTGTGTGTTGAATGTCGGAGGGAGTCTGGTGACATTTTCCTTGATTAGTTTACACACAGAACACTTTACAGATTATTTCTTTTCACTGAAGGGACTGACGGGTTTTTTTTATGACATGGATTTGGGAAAGCTCCTGCTTTTGGAGTTGTTGAAGTTCTTTTTGGAGAATATCTGAATTGTTTTCCATGGTGGTCACATAATGATATTACTGGATTGGCTTCATATAGTCTCAGAACTTTCCTTGTCGCTGGCATGGTATCATCAAACATCTTTTGTACGTTTAGTATGTAGCTTTTACCTGAAAACGTGAATACAGTATATGTTTAAAACAATATAAATTGTATATCGGACATTAAGGACCACTGATGCATCTTCCTGGATAAAGGATAGACACTAAAGGTACATGAAATATACAAGAAAAAGTACAGATTGGTACCTTTATTTCTGAGATTGTAGTTTTATTCGGCTTAGTTTTAGTTTAATTTTTAGTTTTTAACAAAGACTTTTTTTCAAATAAACACAATTCAACTCTGCATTAATTGGATAGAGTAACAGACCTCTCAGAGATGGGATCTAAGCTCAGTGTTAGAGTGTCACGACTTCATGATTTCAAGGGGTGGTGCGTCTACTTCTTTGCCACACCCCTGACAACTGTTTCCCCAGTCAATTACGGATATTATATAAAAAGTGATAAACAGCCTATTATAAATGCATTTTGTAAATTAGTGCTCTGTGGCTGTGCCTCTGAAGCCACTATGTACATCTGATATCATTTTACAATTTCAATTATCACATATTTCCCCCTTCTGGCATCTCTCCTTCTCATTTATTAAGCCACACTGCAGAGGGATTACTGCTTCGAAAAGAAAAATATAACAACCTCTCTGGTACTTCTCAAAGCTATCCAGGCTACTTTTTTAAAATGAATATCATCTATCTGAGTGCTGACACTCAGGTATTTTTGCGACCGTCTTTGCCAAAGCGTAAACACAATCCACACAGCGCCCTCAACAACACATTGCTCTTTTGTTTACACCTCTGCCATTAAAGTCACCCTGCACCCACGCCTCACCTCTGCACACTAAACACACACAGAGACACACATATACCTGAGGGCACTCAAAGGAGAACATGCACAGAACGTTCTAGATATTACAGAGGAGCTACTTTGCTGCAGTGTACCTTTTGCCACACGGACAACATAATAACAATGAGAATTAGTCCTTAGATGTCCTGTTTAGCCTTAAGGTGTAATTCCGGCCTATTCCCTGTAAACGGCCTATTAGACGTGCTTCCAGAGATGACCTGTAATTATGTAAAAGACAGGCTGTCTGTAAAAGTGTATCTGAAGGTGCTGCTTAGGAGATATACCAGCATGCTGCTTGGATGTAATTGCTGGTGATTCACCAGCTTCACATTTGAACAGGCAGAGATGTAAATTATCACACATCACACGGTGTACCTTCAATGAAAATTGGTTTAACACTTTGACTGAACATGGAAAAAAGGTCTTGAAGGGATCTGCTCGGATTTTACCTCATAATGTCAGTTATTCATTCATAAAACAATCTCTGAAAGGACTGTCTTTTTATGGAAGAAACTAATGATTCTCTCTGTTTCCAGAGGCGAGTATGACTCCACCACATCGCCCATCCAACCCTGGTGACAGGTATGCACTTACACTTTTAATGCTTTGCATAGTATGTTCCGATATCAGGATAAGTTTGTGTGCAGACACCTGCATAAGAGCCAGCATTAATGCTTTTCACAATATCATAAGACACCGGTATATATTAAAGCTTTTTTTTTCCCCCTTAAGTGCTTATGTGCATTGCATCAAACTGTTTATAGGAATCGGCATGCATCTTAATTAGCAATGCACATGTGAATGTGTTCTTTTCATGCAGTATACCAGAAGAGAGCAGGACGCTATAGCAACATATTTACAAATTCTGCACCTCATATGTCACTGTCAGATACTGCCAGTTCCAGCTGTGTAGAATTTGCCAGCTGTTCCCTTAGGCAGATGCTTCACTGCTCTATCTGTAGTGCTGCTGGGATGGCTTCTGCATGACATTTGTATTATTTGTCAACATGCTTTTCATGGTTTTCTCTGTCAGGCCGCCTGCTGAAACGGTTAAGAAGAGCAGTGTCGGCAACACTGGACTGATTCTGGACAGCTCGGCGCTGAAGATGGCTGATGTGGACTCGGAGGTTCCTCCTCTCCCACCACGCTATCGCTTCAGAGACCTGCTTTTGGGGGATCAGTCGTTTCAGAATGACGACAGGTAAGAGTGTTTCTACAGATCACACACAGTGTCTTATGTGTATAAAGCGTTTATGAAACACAGGCATTCATAACACGTTTTCTGGAGTTTGAGAGAGTGTGATGAAATGACTATCGAAGAGAATCATGCAACAAGCTGTTACATGTGCGCCTTTAATTTTTTGCAAGACTTCATAATATTTGGATAACAACACTTGACAGTTGCCTATATTGTGCCTTCATAACAAGCGAACGTCAGTTGTATACAACTTTCGTAAGGCAATGCTGGTGGACAAGACTTTATGTGACTTTGTCTTTATATGAAAAACATTGTAGTTATATTTGTACATTTTTTTAATCCTTATCTTTTAAACAATTAGTTTCTTTCTACTAACCTTCACGTATCCATTCCATTTCTGTCATATGGGCTTCATATTTCTGTAGAGGGTAAATACAGTAAATACCCTTCCCTAAAGGTTGAGACTGCAGGTACTGTATATTCTAAATAAAACATCTCTCAGTAAATATGAATGAATGACTTGTACTGCATTGCTTGTGAATGTGCTGTGAAGGTCCAAGTGCTGTCGCTGTTTGTAACACACTGGGCGGTAATTTACACAGTTGACCTTAGTAAAAAGAATTGCACAATGACAAAGAATGTTTCTTCTTGCAAATATGAGACCCAGCTCTTTACACACACTCAGTAGATGTTTTGTGCAGTTGCAGCTGATCACATGCTCAGTGTGCTCATTTTGTAGAGAAATGTGTGCTGAGGGAGCTGTCCTCAGCTCTGGTGCTGAAACAACACTGTTGTGAAAGAGAGAAACTGTACAAGGCGACAAGGCTGAATAGATCAGGGTTTAAATATCACTGCAGCGTTTGCTAAATGACTCAATCTTTTATGATAGATTCAAGGCTATCTCCTGTCCAAATCGCTTTTTCTGACGTATTTCAGTGACAGGAAGCTGCTGCCTATAATGTGATGCTTTGAATTTTCATATGAATGTTTCATATTTTTTACATTTCTTACTGTGAGGTTTTGTACAATTTAACTTGGAGAGAAAATATGTACTTATTGATATATGATATTGGATTCTGATTATGGCTTTGACACTTAATCATAGTGCTGTGCGCTATCCTGCAGAATAAAACTTACCATTATTCTTACTTAAAAGTGCACACATTGCCATTTTGTGCAGAAGGTGAAAGAGTTAGTCATTAGGCAAAGCAAAGCAAAATCCCCATAAAACAGCTGCAGGAGGTACCTGCAGGAAGATTTAGCTGACACAGGAGTGGTGGTGCACCATTCTACTGTGCAGCGTCGCTTGCACAAACATGCACTGTATGGAAGAGTCATCAGAAGGAAACCTTACCTGCGACCTCATCACAAAAATCAACATCTATTTCGGTGCTGTGGACCAATAAAGAAAAAAGGTATGTTTGGAGACAAAACAAGAAGCAGGATTTGATGAAAACAACAACTTTTCGACTGTTAAGAATGAGGGTGGATCTATTATAATTTGGGGCTGTGTGGCAGCCACTGGCACAGGAAACATTGTAGACAGGTAGACACAAGGATGCATTCCAGGAAATACCAGCAGATTCTGTAAGCATATGTGAGAGTCAGTCAAAAAAAACCTGAAGAATGCCTTCTACATTAGGACAATGATCCGAAACATGCCTCAGAATCCAACATGAACTACTGAAGGATTTGGAATGGCCCTCACTTGAGAGTCATTGACAATCTGTGTGTAGACCTTAAACATGCTGTGTATTCAAGATGGCCCAAGAATATCTTTGAACTAGAAAGCTTCTGCAAGAAAGAGTAGATGAAAATTCATTAAACAGGAATAGAAAGATTCTTAGCTGGCTACAAAAAAGCATTTGCAAGCTGTGAAATGTACCAAAGGGGGTATTTTGTAGAGCATCCAGATTTTTTGCACATGCTACCATTACTATTACAATATTTTCTGTTTTTCATCAAATATAATGTAACTGTTCATTATAATTGGCAGAAAAATGTTTTTACTTGCCACAGAAGTTGTGTTTTTGTGTAATTTGGTGATGGGTGTCCAAACATTTGCATGAAACTGTATATTAAAGGTGATACAGTTTCTCACATTTTCTCAATTCCACAAACATGAAGAAGCAAACAAAAATAGCAATTTTATGATTTATTACCTTGGACAGACAACTGTATTATAAACTGTTTCAGTTGCTTCGTTTTCAAAAGCTTTGAAAAAATTCCTACTCAATGTGACCCTTTATTCCTGATAAGGAGGTGGCCCTTATGGCACAACCACATTACAGATCACATTAATTGTGTTAAGCTTTTAAATGATGAATATAAATGATGGGCCTCCGAATTAAATGAAGAAATGAATGAATAGATAAGCCAACGATGTATTCAATCAATAAGACACTGTTATTTTACATTGGCCAGTTAGCTAATTTTAGCGAAGCTCACTAATATCCCAGTCAATTGATTCATGAAACAAAAAAAAAAAAGACTAAAAATTGATTGTTTTACAGAAATGTGTCTCATTTCTTTTGCTTTATA